GCATACACACAGTGGAAACGATCTAAATGTCCATCAACTAGGGAAGATATAAATCAAATGTGGAATATCTATACAATAGAATACTATTCAGCAATAAAAAAGAAAGAACTACTGATACATGCTACATCATATGAACCTAAAAAACATCATGCTAAGTGAAAGGAACTAGATGTAAATGACCACATTACTGTATGGTTCCATTTATATGAAAAATTCTGAAAAGGTAAATCTATAAGACATAAAGCAAATTAGTAGATGCTTGGAGCTGAGGGATTATCTGCAAACAGGTATTTTGACGGGGGTGGGGTGGGGTGGATAGAAAGTGGATTATGGTGATGGCTGCACAACTCTAATTTATTAAAAAAACATTTAATTATGTGCATACAAGTAAATTTTGTGGTATATAAATTATACTTAAATAGTTTTTTTTAACCCTAGAACAAGAATATGAGCATTATCTGAAAAAAAAAAAAAAAGGTGAGCACAAAAGGTGATATTATGTTGTCAAAAAACAGAAGAGCCCAGAATGGCTGCAGGGCTGATCTAGCCTGAAGCCTAGAGATTGGCCTCCCATCCTTTACATCCCTGCAAAGCAACTGATCTTAAAAACAAAAGCAAATATGCCTATCTGTGACGGCTAATATTATGTGTCAACCTGACTGGCCACTGTGTTTCCAGATTAAACATATTTCTAGATGTGTCTGTGAGAGTGTTTCTAGATGAGATTAGTATTTGAGTCAGTGGACTCAGTCAAGTAGATTGCCTTCCTATTGTGGGTGGGCATGATCCAATCCAGTGAGGCCTGCACATAACAAAAAATAGAGAAGGAGGAATCTACCCACTTTTTCCTGCCTAACCGCTTGAGCTGGGACATCTCATCTACCTTGATCCTTAGACTGGGGGTTACAGCATCAGCTTACCCTGCTTCAGACTCGGACTGAATTACATTACCTGCTTTCCTGGTTCTGCAGCCTGCAGATGGCAAATCGTGGGCTTTCTTAGCATCCATAATTACATGAGGTAATCCCTCATAATAAATATCGCCCTCTCCTTTTCTATATATCTCCTACTGGTTCTGCTTCTCTTGAGAACACTAATACACCATCCCTCTACTAAATGAAGACAAGCTCAATATATGATCAGGCACAATTCTAGAAACATAAAATGACTACCTGAAGAGACAGAGATCTCAAAGCTTCCTGGTTTCCATATATTCACAAATCACTTCAAGCATTCAGCTGCATGTTCAGTGTGTGGCATTTAATCTGTACACCTGACTCGCAGGACTTTATAATACACCAACTATGACTATGTTGTATCTCTTTTATAAAAGCTGTCCAATGATCACAAACCCACAATTTCATCAGATTCAAAACTCTGGAGTTATATAATCCATACTCCAGCTCCAAGCAGCATTACTCCAATCCATGTGAAGGAGGCAAGTGAACAGATTCTCTTTAATAATCTTTTATTATTTGAGAGCTGGTATTTTTAAAAATATGTTTTTGTTGATTTTTTTTAGAGAGAGAGAAAGGGACAGAGAGATACATCAATTAACTGCCTCCTATATGCGCCCTACACCCGGGCATGTGCCCTGACAGGGAATCGAACCAGGACCTCTCAGTCCATGGGACAATGCTCAATCCACTGAGCCACACCAGCTGGGCCAACATGATTTGTTTTTTAAAAAATTTTCCTTTGTTAATTTTAGAGAGAAAGGAGGGAAGAGGGAGAGAGAGATAGAAACATCGATGAAAGAGAACATCAATTGGCCACCTCCTGCATGCCCCCCACTGGGGATCTGGACCACAACCTGGGCATGTGTCTCGACCGGGAATTGAACCAGCAATCTCCTGGTGCATGGGTTGATGCTCAACCACTGAGTCACACTGGCTGAATGTGCATAATTTATTTTTAAAAGGCTATTCTTTCTGTACAGCTCAGTAGACTGAGCATCATCCCACGGATCGAGAGGTCCCAGTTCAATTCCTGGTCAGGGCACCTGCCCAGAGTTGCAGGCTCGATCCCCAGTAGGGGGCATGCAGAAGGCAGCCGATCGATGTTTCTCTCTCACATCAATGTTTCTATCCCTCTCTCCCTTCCTCTCTCTCTTAAAAAAATAAAGTAAAATAAAAATAATAATAAAAAATAAATAAATACAAACATATAAAAAATAAAAGTCACCTCATTTACTTTGATATTCTATTTCAACATTTAATCTCCATTAGTTGTGAGCCATCCACTCTGCTGAACCTAACCTTTTCTGAGTTCCTCCTACTTCCACGGCATCTGAGGTAAAAGAAATAACTGTCTCCCTACATTCCAAAAGGGGATAACATTTGAAAATGACCATAAACAATACCTCTCAAGGTTCATGTCCCTTCAACCTTTCCTCTTAGGTACTACTTTATACCCTTCCAGCTGCCTCTGGTCCTTTATTTTGTTCTGAATGCTCTAATTTCTCATACCCCATCAAGCATGGCAACCAGTACCTGGCACAGAATTCTAAAGTAATGCCAAATTTAGCAGAGATTAGTTGCCAAATCCTTTAAAATAAGTTCATTCCTAAAAAAACAAACAAACGAAAACTTAGGGAGAATGGTGCCATGGTATAATTAGAACTAACAAGAATTGGAGGGAGTGGGGGTAAAAAGGAGAAACATCTGTAACAAAAATAAATTAATTAATTTTAAAAATAAATAAATAAAAGGCATTTATACCTATTTAACACATTTTTGACACTATTAGATGTGACAATTTTCTTTTACATTAAATGGATAAAAAAAGCAAGAGTCAACTTAAAAAAAAAAAAGAATTGGAGGATTTCCTGGTTGTTTAGGAGGGAGAATGTTCTAGAGAAGGGAAGGTATATAGTGGAATGGTAACAGAATGACACTAAGTCTCCTGAAGGTTCTAGGTCATGTTATACCCAACAGGATGAAAAAAGAGTTTCCTTTCTTGTACCCTGCCTTAATGTAATTCTTGTTTTAAGGAATAACTGTTTCCCAGACATTCCTTACATTAAATCCAAATTATGCCTTTTCACTTGTGCGATAAATATGGAATGACATACATTAAGTGCTGGAAGTTACCTATGAATAAAATGACAGAATTCAACCTTCTCTTTTTACTGATGAGGACACTGATGATTGAGGTGGGGAGGGGGATGACTGCTCAAAGTTCTTTAGAGACGGGTTGGACTACAACTTGTACCTTCCGGCCTCAGGCTTAATCTCCTTTGACTGGACCACCTCCCACCCCCATCTCCAAGAATAAGGTAATTTAAGAAATAGATATCTAGCCCTGGCTGGTTTTGCTCAGTGGTTAGAGCGTCAACCTGCGGTCCAGAGAGACCTGAGTTTGGTTCCTGCTAAGGGCACGTGCCTCGGTTGCAGTTAGTCCTGGCCCTGGTTGGGTCATGTGGGTGGCAGCCGCTCGATGTGTACCTTTCACATTGATGTTTCTCTCTCTCTCTCTCTCCCTCCCACTCTATCTGAACAAAAAATGGAAAAATGTCCTCGGGTGAGGATAAAAAAAAAAAAAAAGAAAGAAATAGAGATCTAAAAAGAACAGGAAAGACCCCCTGTAAGTGGACAATATCTATATAAACTGGGACACAATGAAGTGAAATATTTTCCCATTTTCCCCGCAAGAGGTAATAAAAATCACCCTGATGCCTCATTTTACAGGTCGGCATGTTAAATCCAGGCTCCAGTGGTAATCCACCTGTTTTCTTTTTAGAACTTCATCTTCTGAATTGGAAGAGGAGGGTCAAGACTCTGCTTCAGGTAAGGAACTCTGCCTGAGCGAGAAGAAGCCTGGACCCCACAGCTTCAGAGTGGGGCCTTCTGTGGAGGGGATAAAGTCCAGCAAAGCTCTGCTCCCCTGTGGAGGGTACTCTCAGGAGATGTCTATCTCCTGGGGGACCCTTTCTCCCTCTCCCTCTGGGAACTCTAAGTGAAATAGAAAAAGAAGCAAGAGGCCCTTCCTTCCTAGAAGGGCCACTGGGAAAGAGGCTAAGGGCCAAAATAAAAAAGGGAATGAAGCAACTGTCCCTAGTCTAGGTCACAATTTCTGGAAGGAAAGGCAGTTTGGAGGGGGCACTCAAAATACAGGATAACCTTGGCATAATTTCCAAGGACATGATCTTATTAGAATAGTTTTAGAGTGGAGGTTTCATTATACAATTCAAACCAACACAGCATTATCAATATGCCATTGCAGAAACTTTTAAGCCAAATCAGGAGACTTTAGCACATAAATGGGACAGAAGGAAGTGGAAATCTGTACCACCTCTCTTCAGCTGTGGCAGGGAATTTGGGCTAAGCCCCCATATTAACTGAGGTATAAATTCATGCTTCTCCGTTGTTAGGGGTGTGAAGTTTGGGGGGTACTGGGTACTAGCTCCAGCAAAAAAATATTTTTCCTCTTTTTTAAGTGCTGGGATGTGATTTTGCTTTTTTACTTTAATTTTTTAATTTTTCAATTACAGTTTACTTTCAGTATTATTTTGTATTGTTTCAGGTGTACAGTATAGTGATTAGACAATCGTATACTTTACAAGATGTTACCCTCAATATTTCCAACACCCACCTGTCACCATACATAGCCCTAGCAATTATTATTGGCTATATTCCCTATGCTGTACTTTATATCCTCATGAGTATTCTGTAACTACCAATTTGTACTTAATCCCTTCAACTCCCACCCAGTCCCCCAACTCTCCAACCCTCTGGCAACCACTAGTCTGGTCAGGCTCAAAGTCCCAGTGCATAACAAAGAACAAGTACACTTGCCTGATTTTGCCTTCCGCACCACAGCCTGGATGGCTGAGTGGGGCCTGAGTTAGCTGGCAGCTTGAGGGACAAGTGTTTCTACCCCCCTTAGAAACACAACCAACAGGCACAATTAGTAATCACTTTGCTGTCTGTGGGATTTTCAGGCAAGCATTTTACGCATTTACATTTACGAAGTTAAAAATCTGAATATATAACACTTACTGTGTTTTTCTGAGTTACCATATCCTGAAAAGAAAAAGAAAAGATGAGCTGAATATAGTGTTTTTCCAAAACAGTTAATTTCCATAAGCAAGTACTTTGTCCCAACCCATCATCCAGAGTAAATCAGTTGAAACCTTCCCTGTAAAAAGCTTCAAATAAAATGAGCCTCCAAGAATTGTAAAATTCATGTTCTAAGAAAAATGTATCATAATTGGTAGCTTTGGAACTATGAGGGGGGGGGGGGTTATGGCTATAAGAACTTTCCCATAACAATGGCAATGCTTTTGTCCCAAGAGAGAATGAGATTCAAATTTGGGGCTCTGAATGCAGGCCACCCCCACAGAAAGCCTTCCTAAGGAAGGGGTGTCACTGGTAGGATTCCTAACCCCTTACTGTAGTTGTATAGGAATTTTCAAATTCAATGACAACAATCTTAGCTAACTTAGCAGAATGTTTGTGCAGTCCTTGATTGTATCATTTATGCACTGCAAGCCAACATTTGCCAAAAAAAACCACATAATTAGAGAGCTGCCCCATAAAACTTGTTTTACATGTTGTGAGATTTCTAGTTTCTGGTGACAAGTGTAGACTGCTTTCTTCTGGGGTCAGATATAACTGACTACTCACTTCCATTTTAGAAAATATTATTCCATATCATTAAAAATTAAAACTTATTGCCCTGGCTGGTCTGGCTCAGCAGTTGGAGCGTCCGCCCATGGACCAAGAGTTCCGGGTTCGGTTTCTGCTAAGGGCATGTACCTCGGTTGCAGTTTGTCCCCGGCCCTGGTTGGGGTTGTGTGGGTGGCAGCCACTCGATGTGTCTCTCTCACATCGATGTTTCTCTCTTTCTCTTCTTCCCTCTCTCCCTCCCGCTCTACCTGAAGATAAATGCAAAAATGTCCTCGAGTGAGGATAAAAAAAAAAATTAAAACATATCTAGGTCATGGGACTTTCCAGAGGAGTTCATTGAGGCACAGCTGAGAAAAAAAATGTATTAAATTGGGAAAAATACACTCTAATTTCATGTTTCTCATAAAAAATATACTTAATAATGTATCCTTCCATATTTTCTAATTCTAAATATTTCCAAGCATAACTACCTTAGTGAAAATGAATAAAATAAATTAACATCTAAAGTAATTTAGATTACTTTATAGCCTTTTGGGAAACTATTCTACAATGTACAGTACAGTAATAAAATAATTCCTTCTTGCAATGTCATATGAATGACTTCTTAAAACACGGTTCTCTGCTATAATTGCAGAGCACATACCTATGTAAAGTGCATGTGATATATAACACATACAGGTTGCACAGCTGAAGAAGGTGGAATTTCTACCAGGAAATAATCTCAAATTATTACCGAACCCAGAACAATCTGGTTAATATTAAATCTCAAGAAACATAAAAATGTCCAAATTTGCCATCACAAATTATGATGTCCATGAAAGCTAACTCTGAACCACTGGTTCTCACCCCTAGCTTCAGATTTGGGAGGTTAAAAAAGTTCCCTCAAGACTGTGATATAATTGGTCTGGGGTGTGGCCTGGGTACTGGGATATTTACAAGGGTTCCAAGTGATTCTGAAGTGCAGTCAAAGTTGAGTGACACTGCTGTCAGCAAACTAATCTTTCATTCCTGAAATTATTTAACACAGATTAAGATCGTCTGACCAACATTAAGATATTCAAAAATATTAATGTATTAGCTGAATTTTGTAGTAACTCATCTTAGATATTCATTTTATAAATATGAGCATTTAAAAAAGGGTATTATGTTATCCAAAAAAGCATTTGTATAAAACTTGCAAAAATACATTTAAAAATTATCAATCATTACTGAGTTGTGCTTAAACACACGTTTTCAGTTTTACTCTGCTTTAAACTGAGGAAAAATGACATTAAATACTGACTATATCTATGCCAATACTTTCTGCTCATTTTGGTAACTGTTGAATGTCTTATTATTATCCAAGTTGAGCAATGGTTTTTTTAATGTATAGGTTTGAATCAAATTGCACAAGCAAGTCTTTATTTGTTTCAATTGAACATATAATACTGCTTTCCCAAAATGAAATATTCAGGAGAGGTGAACCATGCCCTTTACCTTTAATAAAATAGCAGTGTCAAGGTCAGTGTCATAGTACAGGATCACATTATTGATCATGTCGAAGCTTTCTCGAACTCCAAGATGGTAGAATAGTGAAGGCTGTTTGGAGATATCACTCATGTCCACCACGGCAACATCTGAGACGAACAAGGAGAGGACAGAGTGTAAGTGAGAGAGATGATCTGTCTACTTAATCCACCTCCTGATGGTCACCAACAGGAAGCTGCTGCAGTTTGAATTTCTATCATCAGCCTTTTAGGTAAAGCACAAGTGAGAAATGCTTTGCTTAAAATTACCTAATCCATGAACTCTGGAAGAAAAGCAACAAGAATTTAAAAAACAAAAACCTCTTCCTTCTTCAAAGTGCTAGGAATGTAGCCTCACTTAAAAACTGCTAGGGGAGCCCTGGCCGGTTTGGCTCAGCAGTTAGAGTATCAACCCGTGGACCAAAGGTGTCGTGGGTTTAATTCCCAGTCAAGGGCATGTACCTGGGTTGCAGGTTAGATCCCTGGCACCAGTCAGGGTCATGCGGGAGGCAGCGAATTGATGTCTCTCTCTCTCCTACTCCCTTTCACTCTTCCAAAAATTAATGAAAAATATCCTCGGGTGAGGATTAACCAAAAAAAAAATTCTGGGGGATTTATTTTTAATGTATTTTTATTAGAAAATATATCATGTCCAAAGAATATATTTAGCTTATATATGAAGTATAAGGTATAACGAAATGAAAAACAACACACGCACCATGCAGCCCAAGACATAGAGCATTTTCTGTACTGTTGGAGCTTCATGTGCCTCTTCCCAGTCACAGCCCCATCCTCCTGCTCAAGAACACCTTTATCCTGATCTTTGTATTTACCAATTTCCTGCATATAACTGTATGCATGGATATGCATATTATACATTACTATAATGTATGAATTCCTAAACAGTATGTTGTTTAGTTTTGCACATCTATGAGCTTTATATAAATAGATTCACACCATTGCATTCTTTCACTTGCTGTTTGTTTTAAATCTTCAGATAGAGTAGGAGGGAGGGAGAGAGAGAGAAAGAAACAATGATGTGAAAGAGACAAATCGACTGGTTGCCTCCCACATGACCTTGACCAGAGCTCGAACAAATCACAACTAAGGAACGCCCCTGAACAGAATCAAACTCTGGACTCATAGGTCCACAAGCCGACACTCTAACCACTAAGCCAAACCGGCCAGGGTTTAACTTGCTGTTTTTGGTGTGAGACCACCAATCTGCATATCTAGCTTTAGGTCATAAATTTCCACTTTAGCATAGCATTCCATTGTATAATGACTAGATGGCAATGTCTTTATCCATCCTGTCTAAAAACATTTTGTCATTTTTTTTTCCTATTTCAAACTGTTGTAATGAACATTCCTGTGCCATGCTCCTGGCTCACACGTTTGCCATCAATTTGACAATGTAGCTTAAATGCCCTTGGAGTTGTGTCCTAGAGAGAGCTATTCAAAACAGGGGAGTAACATATGACATCAATACGGAACATATTTAAATTTGCCCAGGACTATTGAATATTGTTTTAAAGCTCGTAATTTTCTAGAACGTATAAAAGCTCCAAGTTTGATTGGACTCTCTCTACCACGTACAGAGATTTTGAAAAGTAAAGTCCAAATTTATGCTCGTGCTGCTGTGACTCATAAGAAGTCACAAAATCCTGCCCTGGCCGGTTTGGCTCAGCGGTTAGAGCATTGGACTGCGGTCCAGAGAGACCCAGGTTCGGTTCCCGCTAAAGGACACGTACCTCGGTTGCAGTTTGTCCCTGGCCCTGGTTGGGTTGTGCGGGTGGCAACCACTCGATGTGTCCCTTTCACATCGATGTTTCTCTCTCTCTCTCCCTCCCACTCTATCTGAACAAAAAATGGAAAAATGTCCTCAGGTGAGGATTAAAAAAAAAAAAAAAAGAAGTCACAAAATCCCAATGAAACAGAACAGGGGTGTGAAAAAACAAGGTGTCAAGCAGAAGTCACATAAGCACCAGGCATGGCTGACTCTGTGCAGAGGCACTGGGAGACCTGAGGCCAAGTGTCAATAAGCCCTGGATGGGCCTTTTATTCTCTGATTTATAGACTGGGTGCCAGTTATATGCCAGGCATCATTCTGGGTACTAGGGATAGAAGTGTGAATGAGGCATGATCCCTTTCCTCAAAATAAGTGTAATACAGTGACAACAGGAAGGAAATTGTGGTTAGAATCACCATAAGGAGAGGTGCAGTGAGAGAAATGGTGACAAAGGTACCCCTGGGCGGAGAGCGGTCAGGGAAGGCAAGGACAGAGTGATATTGTCTGGGACCTGAGAGTCCATAAGACTTAGGCAAGCAAATCAGGGTGAGGATGGGGGGATGGAAAGAGAAGGAATGGGTGTTGGAGGAAGAAAAGACAGTTAGTGCAAGAGACCAGAAGTAAGATGGGATGTAGATGTTAGGGCCACTGCAAATAATTTCATGGGACTAGAACACCCAAGAAGATGAACCTGGAAGAGTTAGTAGAAGCCAGGCGGTAACGAGGTCTGAAGGACATGTTAAGAGGGCTGGCCTCTACCTTGAAGCAATGGGAAACGTATGGTAGGGTTTTTTTTTTTTTTTTTTACTTCTTATTATGTAAAATTATAAATATGTGTATAAAAGTAGACAGAAAAGTATAATGAAACTTCTGAACGCCCCTTACCTCCCTCAACAATTATGAACTCACAGTCAGCCTCCCTGATTCATTCTATTGCCATCCACACCACCCCCTTTTACTTTATTATTATTATTTTTTAATCCTCACCTGAGGACATTTTCTTTTGCATTTATCTTCAGATAGAGTGGGAGGGAGAGAGGAGGGAAGAGAGAGAGAGAAACATTGATGTGAGAGAGACACATTGACTGGTCGCCACCCACACAACCCCAATCGTGGCTGAGGACAAACTGCAACTGAGGCATGCGCCCTTAGCGGGAATGGAACTCAGGACTCTCTGGTCCACGGGTCGATGCACTAACCACTGAGCAACCGGCCACAGTTCCTTTCTACTTTATTTTGAAGCAAATCCCAGAGAGCATATTATTTCCTCCCCAAATATTACATCATATATCACTAGAAGATGAGAACTCAAAGAAAAATAAACACCCATCGTATCAATGTCTCACCTACAATTTTAAAAATAATAATCATGAAGGGTTTAAAACAGAAGACTAACATATCGAAATTTACACTTTAGAGGTGCTCGCTCAAGAAAGGACAAATGTATATGCTGAAGAAACAGTTTACAACACAGCCTGGTTAATTTATCTCAAACGGATAAATGTTCCCCACAGACATTTGCTTGGAGTCAAAAATCACACTGCAGCTGAATAAATTAGACATTTGGCCTATATGATTGTTCCTTGAACTCTATTACCTACTCAAATTAAAGAGAATGTATTTCCTAGTGATGCTATTAAGAAGTGGCGATATATATACTAATTCCACAGCCATGGGGAACTTCTATAATTAGTTTATAAAGGAAAGAAAGCAAATGGAGAAGACAAAGGAGAAGGGTGGGAGAGGGCAGAGGGCAGGGGTAAAGGACAGAAGGGTCCCAGGTTTTGCAGGCCATTTTCATAGGAAACCTGCACTTTTGTGGAGCAGCTTGTCACTGAATAGATTATGTTTTAACCTGATATGATTTGCTTCTTTCCTCTGCCTTCTCAGCGTTCTGTTCTGGGACCTGAATACTGGCCTCACCCTCTCCACTAAGGAGCCACTCTGTAGTCTCCTCTGGTGAGTATTAACAACAACAACAACAACAACAAACTTTACTGTCCCTGCCCCAGTGGATGTGGATCAATGGGTTGGGCGTTGTCTTGTGCACCTAACAGTTGCCAGTCTGAGTCCTGATCAGGGCACATGCCCAGGTTTCGGGCTTGATCCCCAGTGGACGTGTGTGTGAGAGGCGGTCAGTTAATGTTTTACTCTCACATTGATGTTTCTTTCTCTCCCTCTCTCTCTAAAAAAATATTTTTTTAAAAATAGGTTTTTACTGATTTTAGAGAGAGAGGAAAGGAGACAGAAGGAAACTTCGATTGGCTGCCTTCTAAACACCCCCTAACCAAGGATCAAGCCCTAAACAGGGGCATGTGCCGTGATCGAGAATTGAGCTCGTGACCTTTTGCGGCATGGGCTGACACTCAACCAACTGAGCCACACTGGCCAGGGCAATAAAACAATCTTTTGAAAAAAATACTTTGCTACCCCTTCCAAGTCATAGCAACTCCCCCCCCCCCACTAGGATATGCAGATACTGTCCCACTGCAGCAAATACAGGGAAGAATCTGACTGATACTACCTCCAATATGTCATTCTTACTTTATTAAATTTCCATTTTATTTCCATAATCAGGAGGAATTCTGAGGCTCCTTTCCCCAATTGTGGTTGGTTTGCTTTGGTGTGGAAGAAGAGTGGCTAATGCCATTCTCTTTAAAAATTATGAAATCTCGCCCTGGCCGGTTTGGCTCAGCAGTTAGAGCATCAGCCCGGGGACCAGGCAGTCCTGGGTTCGGTTCCTGTTAAGGGCACATACCTCGGTTGCAGTTTGTCCCCGGCCCCGGTTGGGGTCGTGTGGGTGGCAACCAGTCGATGTGTCTCTCTCAGATCGATGTTTCTCTCTCTCTCTTCCCCCCTTCTCTCCCTCCCGCTCTATCTGAAGATAATTGCAAAAAAAAAAAGTGAAATCTCTTCTACCTTTCTTCTCTTCCTTATCCCTTTCTCAAAATTTTAACTTTTCTTTTCCAAATAAAACTCCCTTAATTTTCATCATAGATGCAAACATTAGAGTATCCAATATGCATACCTTGCACTAACATGAAAAATAGCAAAGAAATAAAATCCTTTAATTTTTTCAAAGAAAAAAAAAGTTCCCCTGCCCCACAAGCATTTTTTTCTAGAACAGCACTGTCCACTGCACACCAGTTTTTCAGAGTTGGCACCCACAGGAAGGAGGCTACAGTTGTACCTCATGACAAAAGGAATATTTAGCCACTCAGAAAAGACTCTGTTCAAACTCCAACTTCGGAGGAGAATAAAGAGAAGCCGAGAAAACCCCGTGGTTCCACGTGAAGTGGGCTCCTGAACAGCTTTTCTAAACAGACGCTGTGCTGAAGAGTATACTCGGAGTGAACAGAAATGTCAAGAGACTGTTTTCCACAGGTCCAGCTGCCACTCATTTGAACAAACCTGACGCTGTGCCCCCCTTCCCGCTGGTGAGGATTTGCTCTGCAGAAAACAGATCAGTGTTCCCTGGGCAAAGGATGAATGAACGGTGACAAACCTGGCTTAGGACTGCAGCACGGTTGGCAGACACTCGCCATTCACCCTCCCCCACCTTTTAGGGCCCGCACTGTTACTTCCTTTTGACCAGTGGAGAAACCAAGGCAGGCCACCCCGGGGAACCACTATCTCACAGACAATGCTTATGAATATCACTCAAGGGTTTGGGGAAGGAAAAAAGCCAAGCGACAGTCCACTCCACACATGAAAAAAAAAACTCTTGTCAACCAAAAGTACGGATTTTACGGCTAGGTTCTCACGGGCACACTCGTTAAGCTTCGAGGCGTCGCATTCCGTTCCCGAGTGCTCTTATGAGGTAAAAGTCTGTCACAAAACTGTCGATGTGTGTTGGGGACAGGAATTAAAGTGTGGAAAAGGACACCGGGGCATTTCTAAGAGCTCCCCGCCACCCCACCCCCCTTTCTGGTGTAACACACCGATTCTCCCTGTGACCGAAAACGGAGACACCCGGGGAAAGATGAAACAACCAGAGCCTTGGGGTGCTGACGACATCGGTCCGGCTTCGGGCGTTCTAGAAACTCCCCAGGTGACCTTAAACTGTAGCCAGGGTTGGAGCCCGCGGCGGTAAGGGACACGCGGGAGTGAGAAAGTAAAAGCCGAACCACTGGCTCGGCACCGTCTGGGTTATCAGCTTTTTCTCGGGTCACCTGCTGTTTAAGGAGACTGGGGCACAGAGAGATCTAGATGCCGGTGGCCTCTCTTTTGCCCTCTGTAAAAGGGCGTAAGGCCACCTACTCTGTCGTTCCCCACCGGCCACGCGCGCCTGTCGAAGGAGTCGGGGGTGCTAAGCTGGGGACGCGCCGGAGGGCGAGGAGAGCCCACGGGAACCGGACGGGGGCGAAGGGGGCGTCCGCCTCACCTGCGTAGTAGAAGGCGTCGAGCTTGGCCGTCTCCTCGAAGTCGAGCACCTCGAACAGCATGGTGGTGAGGTGGGCGCCCTGGGCCTCGCAGGCCCCCACGAGGCACTGGAACGCTCCCTCCTCGGGGCTGTCGGCCGCGTCGTCCTCGAGGCTCTCATTGCACACGTACACCACCCTCAGGGCGCGCCGCGGCCCGCCTGGGCCCCTCGCGCTCTCGGCCGCCCCGTCCGGCTTCCGCGGGCGCTGGGGGAGCCCGGCCGCCGGCCCCTCAGCCGAGGGACTCCCGCGGCCGCTCTCCATGGGCTGCCAGGCGCGACCTTCCTCCATCCCACCTCGGCGAGAGTGGCTGGCGGCTGCGCTCGCGGCGGGGCCGCACGCAGTCGTCAGCGGCTCCTGAGGCGTGAGGACTGGCGCGCGCTAGAGACCCCCTCGGAGGGAAGCTCCAGCCGGGTCGGCCCCCTGGCGCCTTTTAAAGCCTGGGAGAGAGGGGCGGGGATTTAAGACGTCAGGGGTCAGGGCATGCAGGGGTCAAGTGGGGGGCGCGGGGACGTCTGGGAGGGTTGAGGTGGGGGCAGGAGCGAGCAGGGCGCCCCCTATAGTCTCTCCCGGGCAGCGGAGCGCGCGGGGACGTCTGGGAGGGGCGGGTGGGGCAGGAGCGAGCAGGGCGCCCCCTATGGTCTCTCCCGGGCAGCGGAGCGCGCAGGGAGATCTGGGAGGGGCGGGTGGGGCAGGAGCGAGCAGGGCGCCCCCTATGGTCTCTCCCGGGCAGCGGAGCGCGCAGGGAGATCTGGGAGGGGCGGGTGGGGCAGGAGCGAGCAGGGCGCCCCTTGCCGCCCCCCCCCCAGACAGCACCCGGAGAAGGGTGGATTCACTACTTGGCGGGTTTTCTTGTCGCCATCTCTCCAGACTGACCAACTTTTGTTTTTCGTCAAAACAATGTGAGGATTTTCAAGTTGACTAAAAACTCTTTCAAAGCGCTGGTTCGAAGTAAATACTATTCAATTCCCAACTAAATAGAGATGTAGTTTTAACCCAGAGTTGAGATGAGATGTTAACTTAAAACACTTCCGGCCCTGGCCTGTGTCGCTCAGTGGATAGAGCAACCGCCGGAGCACAAAGGCTCACGTCAAAGGGTCACGTCAAAGCGTCAAGTCAAAGGATCACATCAAAGGGTCACGTCAAGGACATGTACCTGAGATCCGGACGGGGAGTGTGTGCAGGAAGGCAACCAATGTGTCTCTCTCATATCGCTGTCGATGTCTCTGTCTGTCTCTCCCCCGCCCTCCACTCTCTCCTAAAATCAATGGGAAGCCCTGGCCGGTTTGGCTCAGCGGTTAGAGCGTCGGCCTGCGGTCCAGAGAGCCCCGGGTTCAGTTCCCGCTAAGGGCGCGTACCTCCGTTGCAGTTTGTCCCCGGCGGTAGTTGGGTTGTGTGGGTGGCAACTACTTGATGTGTCCCTTCACGTCGATGTTTCTCTCTCTCTCTCCCTCCCACTCAACCCGAACAAAAAATGGGAAAATGTCCTCCAGTGAGGATAAAAAAATAAAAAATCAGTGGGAAGCCTGGTGGGTGTGGCTCAGTGATTGAGCGAGGACGCGTGCACCCGAGGTCGCCTTTGGATTCCCGTGAGGGCACATGGCCCCGTTGTGGGCCCGACAGGACGCGGCCAATGGATGTTCTCTCTCCTTCATGTTTCTATCTCTCTCTCCCTTCCTCTCTCTCTCTCTCACACATCAATAAAGAAAAAATAAAACAAACAAAAAGAATCAATGGGAAAAATATCCTCGGGTGAGGATTAACAACAACAAAATTAATTAATTAAAAATAAAATGCCTTGCCCTGGCGGGTTTGGTTCAGCGGTTGGAGCGTTGGCCTGTGGACCAGAGAGTCCCGGGCTCGGCTCCCGCTAGGGGCAAGTACCAAAACAAAACAAAACAAAACGCCTCTGATTTTGTACTCCTTATCCCCAGTTGCCAAGAGCATGGTCCTCCTCAGCCCACTCCTGGAGGCCCGCTCCTCCTGATTTTCAATGTGAACTTGACAAAGCAACACATTTTATTTGCCTGGGAAATAAGAGTCCAAGTAGGCTGCCTGTTCCACCTATGAAATTATGATTCCACAGGAATCTTTGCTCTGGATCTTACCCACCTCACGATTGTGGCCCAAATATAAAAAAAGTATTACCACTGCAGGTACTACTTGCACTTAAAAGAGGGGAAGGCCCTCCCTGGTTTGGCTCAGCAATTAGAACATCTGCCAGGAGACTGAAGGGTTTCGGTTTCATTTCCCAGTCAAGAGCATGTACCTGGGTTGCAGGTTTGATCCCCACCCCGGTGAGGGCACGTGTGGGAGGCAACCAATCTATGTGTCTCTCTAACATCCATGTTTCTCTCTCCCTCCCTCCCTTCCACTCTTTCTAAAAATTAATGAAAAAGTGTATTTCCTTGGGTAAGGATTAACAACAACAAAAGGTTTTGTTTTTTCATTTTTTTAAATTATTTCTTTTTTTTCCCCTCACCCGAGAACATTTTCTTGCATTTATCTTCAGATAGAGCGGGAGGGGCGGGGGAAGAGAGAGAGAAACATCGATGTGAGAGAGACACATCAAGTGATCGCTATCCACACGACCCAACCAGGGCCAGGGACAAACTGCAACCAAGGTAGTGCCCTTAGCGGGAACCAAACCCGGGTCTCTCTGGTTCGTGGGCCGTCGCTCTAACCGCTGAGCCAAACCGGCCAGAGCTGTTCTTTTATTTTAAATAACAGTTTTATGGAGACATAATTCACAAACCATCCAACCATCCAATTCACCCATTTAAGTGGTTTCTAGTGTATTCAGAGTTGAACAGCCATTGCCACAATCAGTTTTAGACCATCTTCATCACCCCCTCAAACCCAGTACCCATTAGCAGTCTCTCTCCATCCCCCCACCCCTCCAACACCCCTCAGCCCTAGGCAACAACCAATCTACTTTCTGTCTCTACAGATTTGCTATTCTGGACATTTCACATGCATGGAACCATGCAATGTGTGAACAGAGGTTTTCATCTGTCATGGGTATATATATACCTAGAAATAGGATTTCTCGGTCTTATGACAACTCGATATTTAACCTTTAGAGAAACTGCCACTGTTTTCCAAAGTAGCTCCACAGTTTTACATTTCTATCAGCAGTGTACAAGTTCAAAAGTTCCAATTTCTTCATACTCACATCAACACTTACTGTTGTCTTTTTTATTATAGACATATTAATGGGTATAAAGTGGTATCTTATTGTGGTTTTGATTTACATTTCTCCGATAACAAATGATGTTGAGCATCTTATCACGTGCTTATTCCCCATTTGTATAACTTCTTTGGGAAAAAAATCCATTAGGATCCTTTGTCCATTTTAAAAATGGGTATTTGTCTTTTTATTATTGAGTTATAAAAGTTATTTTTATATTGTGGATGCACGTCCCTTATCACATATGTGACTTACAAATATTTTTTCCCATTCTGTGAGTTGTTTTTTCACTTTCTTGACGGTCTCCTTTGCAGCACATCACAAGCCATTTTGATACAAGCAGGATAGAATTTACCTTATAAAACATTTTGGCTTTTCTTCACATTTCAGTAATAATACAGTCTATCCCGCCACACATCCCCCCCCCATCAGAAACTACCAGTATAAATCTTTAAAGAAATCCTGCCTTAAACCCAGTTCTTTTTTTTTTTTCATCCTCACCAGAGGACATTTTTAGATATTTTGTTCAGATAGAGTGGGAGGGAGAGAGAGAGAGAAACATCGACGTGAAAGTGACACATCGAGTGGCTGCCACCCGCACGACCCAACCAGGGCCGGGGACAAACTGCAACCAAGGTACAACATGCCCTTAGCGGGAACCGAGCCCGGGTCTCTCCGGACCGCAGGCCGACGCTCTAACCGCTGAGCCAAACCGACCAGGGCTTAAACCCAGTTCTGATAGGAATTAGGAACTTCACGAGTAACATCAATGTATACCCTCTTTTGTGGCCAATGAATGGAAAATGGCTTCCGAGGAAATATGTAAAGACACAAGCAGACCAGAATTGGGAAGGGGAAAGCTAGGGAAAACTTTCAACATCTCTGTTCTAAGATTTTAAAAAATATGATGCTATAAAAGAACACATTTTCTTTGTAACCTTGTAATGCATAATAATAGTTATTTTCCTAATGTTCCTGTTCATCTGAGATTATTCCAATAACTTGGCACAGCCTTCAGAAGGGCAAAAATGCCCATTTAACAATCGCTTGCCAATATCTTGCTGTCACTTCCACTTCAATCTTTCTGCGTTCCTTCCAGCTCTCACTGGGGCCCTACTAAGACACACAGGATTTGTGAGTTCTGGCTTGGATAATGTCCTTCTCTAAACACAAACCCTGCTGAGTTAAGAGCCCAGCATTTACCCCGTAGGTGGCCTGGGAGAACACAGCCCACCATTTCATTGTCTTCAGTAATTTGAACACCTGAAACATTTCCCAGCCCCTTCTCCCCATGTCCCTCCTAACCTGCCCCAGCTCCACTGAGGAGAAAATTGCAAAATACTGGATTAGTCTTTTCTGTTTTGACCCCTGCCTTGTCTCTCTCTAAATGCACATCCTGGGAACCAGTTTGCCCCAACACAGAGGTGCCATTTGGACTAGAATGGCGGATGGAAGAGTAGAATGGAAGTACTGTAGTTAAAAAGTAAGGTTAAATCTAGGCGTTTTCCTTTATTTTATTTTAGGCTGGTTATTCATACCAACCTTGGTCAAACTAGTTAGTTCTTTTGATTCATTCAACCTTGTAAAAAGTATTTAAGTTACCATTTGAGTGGCAGCTTCATTACTTTTTTTATTGTACCAAGGATTTAGAGCAAATAATAACAAAAGAGAACCAAATTGCACAATATTATATATCTTTGGTGGAAAAATTCTTATATAGTAACTCTACAAGGATTTGTTGAGCACCTATTCTGTGTCAGGCACTGTGTAGTGAACGAAACAGCCTAAGTCCCTGCTGTCATGTGAGATAGATAGATGATTGATAGATAGATAGATAGATAGATAGATAGATAGATAGATAGATATGGACAAATATACCTGTGTACAGATGCTATAAGTATTGTATGGACATAGATTATTATAATCTGCCATAAAATATAAGAAAAACAAACAGGATGGATGAAACTTATATTAAGCATAGGTTATATATAAAATACTAGCTTATGAAAGATAAGTGAAACTCATAGGAAGTTTTTAATATTAATGATGAGTAAGCAAGTAGCTTGTGAGAAAAAGGGGAACTTTGTAAGATATATTAAAA